ACCCACCGAGACCCAAACCACGACCACCGACCCGACCACCGCTCTCCACATAATCCACGGCCAAATCGGAGGAGCACAGCACCGTGAGTGGGCCAGGCGGTCAAAGACGACTCCTGGCCGAGCTAATCCGTCGCAGAAGAAGGCGACAGATCGGAAATTGGCCGACGAGCTTCTAGGGGATTTTTAGGGCGAGAGAAAAGGGGATTTTTTGGTTTCATAGTTGTCTAACCATTAATTTAATGTTTTAACTCTTTTTTTTTAAATTTCTTAAACAATAGTAGAAATCAATAAATTTAATCTATTTTATGGAATATATAAATAACGTCCTCCAACTTAATTTTTTATAATATATCTAACTTGATATAAAAATAATTTTCTGACTCAAATTGTTTATATGTATCTACTTGCAAAACTTGGCATGTAATTATCTTTAAATTCACTCAATATTTTACATCATGCAGAGACATATTTAATTCCAAATTAGAAAATCATAATTTTATAACGAATCAACCTAAAATTCGATTTTCATATTCATACCAAATAAAATCCATATTACTTATTTTGTTTTCAAAATTTCCAAATACACTTATATCCATCTATATATATATATATATATATATATATATAACAAAATTAATTGTATGTCAAAATTAATTGTATGTCACATTGGGAAATTATTTAAAGTTTATTTACCATAAAATCATGCATCATTAAATGCTCCCTTAAATGGTAGATTTATTCATTCCATCTTATCTTACCTACTACATAATCATATTCCTACTAAACATTTAATCATATTCCTAATAAACATTAAATTTGCTCATATAATTTTTAATTAATTACATCAATAAATAATATTAATATAAATATTATCATTAGATAAAAAATAAAATTACTTCTGCAACTGTTATAAATAATAATGACATTATACGACAATAGTTTTTGAATAAAATAATATTTGAGTATTATGATGAACCAAAGTATGTAAAATTATTATTTTTTCTGTATTAAAAAATAAATATATATGTTAAAATATTATTTATATTAATATAAATGGGTCAACTGACTAATATATTGTTAAAATAAAGTTATAAAAAATGTTCTAAAATACAAAACCCCGTGCATCGCACAGGATTCTCACTAATACCAAGTAACTTTCATACAATTTAAATTCAAATATTCATACCAAAATAAAATCGCCTACTGTTTACCATAAAATTCATACATTTATTAATAACAATACATTAAAAAAAAACACACATTTTTTACCAAAAAAAAAATGGTAATCATATAACTCAAATAAAATTGTCCACTATATACTAAAATCGAATCTATTAATTTTGTCATCTTTATAGCACAAATTGGTTAGTTAATTTTTAAAGGCGAGTTTTGTCTTTTTATTTTTTTAAAAAAAAGTGAATTACTGAGTTTAGTGATTCTAAAAGTTTTAGGCGGAATTTTAATTTTTATTTTAAATAGATACAAATATTATATATATATATATATAGGATTTGGTTCAAATGAGAACCAAGTCCTAGCGTGAGAACCGTGAGAACCGCTATTCTTAATTGTATGTAGTGCTATGATTGATTGTGTTTTAGTGTTATTTTTAACTAGAATGTATTTTATTAAAAGTAGCAAAAAAAATTTTATTTGCATTTGTGAAAAGGATAGCACTATACAACATTAAAAATAGCATCATACACAACTGAAAATAGCATCAAATATGGTTCTCACGGTTCTTACACTAGACCTAGTTTTTATTTGAACTAACCCATATATATATATATATATATTTATAGTTAATCACATATGTATTTATCTATACACACTTCTTATGATAGCAACTTAGAATTGATTTGATTTGATTTTTTTTTTTTTGTAAATGTAGTTAGTTATTTATAGATGCACGTTTTTTTATGCATATGCAGCATATCAAATAATGATTGTTTTGATTCGTAAAAAAAAAAATGCAAATATTTTATAACAAACTCCACATTTTGAGGATAACATTTTAATATTGTCCATGTTTAATTAAAAAAGTAAATAAATAAAAAGTTTCTATTAATAGAATGTCATTACTGCTTACATGGTTATTTTTTTTTATATAGATATAGATTGAAATTTTTAAAATCCTGTTTTATTATT